CAGAGCAATTCCACATCTGCCTGGCTTCTCATAAGCCCAAGAACGTCAGGAGGTTGGGACTGCTTCTCAGTTGTTCTCATGGCTCAGCACAGGCCTTAACCCAAGACAGGGGTACCCAGAGCATTCGTGGTTGAATGGATGTGAGTTCTGCTGGGGCAGAAATGGTGGGGGCGAGCAAGAAAAGGGCTTTCCTCTAAAAGAAAAGAGACTCTGCCTCCTGGATCCCTTACTAATATCTCCAGACAGTCATGGGCAAGAAGAGGCCCCTCCTGCAGATGTACTGAGAAGACAGAGCCAGCAGAGGGCCAGAGCTCTGTGCCTGGCCCGCCTGGTCTCTCTATTCATTCATCCAGCACTTATTAATTGCCAACCATAGGCCAGACATCTCCACATCATTATTTCATTTAATCCTCCAGGTTAGACTCCACCTGGTTGAAGAAAGCCAGATTCAAAGAGGCAAAAGGGCTTATCCAAGGTCAAGGGAGAGCCAGGATTTGAACCTGCGTTTGCCACTGCAGCTCGCTTCTCCTCTGTCCAGTTCCAGACACATCCACAAGGAGAAAGGGTATGTCTATCAAAACGCCTCACCTCCTCAGCCACACAACCACATGGGCATGAAGCAGGCTCTTGGATGTGCAAGGCCCAGCACAGTGCTTGGTACATGTGCTCATGCACAGCTAGGGTTACTTAGAGGGTTGGGGAGCTGGGCTTTGGACTGAAATTCTCAACACCCCAGAGTTCAGGAGCCCCCGGGAGGAGCCATGGTGGTCACAAATTTCCCCCCAGGAACTCAGATACAGAGGATAGGACACCAACACAGGCTGCATCTGGGCTTGACCTCTGTGACCTTGCCATCACCTCCTGAGACTTAGAGACACCTGTGGCCGGGGCTCACCCCAGCAATGCTGACTCAGTTGGCTCAGGCCAGGCAGATCAGCAAGACCCAGAGAGGAAGTGACTATCTCATCTCAGAACCTCAGTGATCTGGAATCTGAGCATCTCCCCCACTACCACCTCCAACCTCCTTCCATCCAAACTGGAGTCTTATTCCTTCCCTTTGATGTGAAGACTGAATCCTGATGACATCATTTGGCCCCCAGATCCAGTCTTACTTGAAACTAGAACAACCCTCTGGACGTTTTTAGTTCCACAGGCAAAATTTTCCTTTTTCGCTTAAGGCATTTTGAGTTGGGTTTCAGTCGCTTACAACCAAAGCAATCTTCATAGAGATATGATGGTGGCCAGCCCCCCTCCCTGAAATGGTCTGGGGCCCTCTGCTGCTCCAAAGAGGACTCGCCACTGACCGCACAGGAGGGGACGGATGGGGGGGAAAAACATCTGGGTTGGGTCTCCAGAGATGGGAAAAAATGCCTAGTACATAGTGCACCACACTCAACAACTATTTATGGAATGAAAGGAAGCAGTACCTCCTGGGCCAGATGGATGTGGGGTCCAGAGAGGAGGCGAGGAGGAGAGAAGGAGAGGGGAGAGGGGGAGAGGGGCTGCCTGAGCAGGCAGGGGCTCAGGGCAGGGCTTTGGCTCACGGCTGGTATGAGGCGGCAGAGAGCAGCTACAACCCAGGGCCGGGAGTACCTGAAAAGGCTCTGCTGGGGGCTCAGTGATGTGCCCAGCTGTGGCCAGGTTCACATCCAGAGTCAAGATCACCCAAGAAAGCTGTCCTACTAAGCCATTCCAAAGGAGCCAGAGCCTAAGCTGAGGCCAAGGGTGCCTGCAGGTGAAGGAGTCACTTGGTGATCTGGTTTCAAAGGGGAAGGGAATTAACATTTAACAAGTAAGTGTCTCTAAGTGCCAGCATTATTGTTCCCATTTTACAGGTGAGGACACTGAGGCTCAGCATGGTCAGGGCACTCTGACTCCCTGGCCTTATGTGGATAATTCTGGCTATATGTTAAGAGTCAATCATCAGAAAGCAAGAACCCTATTTCCATTTCTCTGGTGCCCTTGCAGACTTTTGGGCAGGTAAACGAACACAGGGAAGGATCCAAAATCGGCCCTCGATGAGCTCCCAGGCTAGTGGGGAATGTAGGTCCACCAGGGAGGACCCAGGTGAGCAGACCGGCAACAGAGGGCTGTGTGAGGGGCTGTGGGCTCCCAGGTGGGTGGGCGACTGAGGGGTCAGGGAAGCTAGACACTGCTGAGGGATGAGCCAGGACACAGGGCAGAGGGACCAGGGAAGGGCAGCCCCAGCAGAGGAAACAGCATGTACAAAGCCTCCAGGAGTGGAGGTGGGCAGTGCCACGTGTCTGAGGCCAGGGACCCTCCCCTAAGGAGTGCAGCCTTTCTCCCATAGGTGGTCAGGACACAGGGACAGGTTCTGAGCTGGGGAGCTGGGCTGGGGGTGGAGGGCAGGGGAGACCTGATCCTTGTGCTTTAGAAAGGTGAGTGTGGGTAGTGGGGACAGGCCTGGAGCTGCTGCCTGAGGCTGGGAACCCAGGGGACAGCTGAGGCAACAATCCCTGTGAAGGTGTGAGGCCAGGCCAGAGGCTGGGGTTAGGGAAGGAGGGGAATCCAGGGCCCCAGCCTGGCTGGCCAGGGAGTCCGCCACAGCAAAACAGCAAAACAGCAGCCCCAGGGCCCAGGCTTCCCCTGCAGGAGCCAGAGGGAGTGAGGGCGCTGGGCTGGGCAGAGCCCCAAAGGTGGGCCTGCACCTGGCAAAGCCAGACGGGTGGGCCTGGGGGCCCCCTCGGAGGCCCCGGCCAGCCCAGAAGACAGGAGCCTGGGGGGGGG